TGATAAGCAACCTGTGTGGTTCCCACAGCTGGGTGCTCTGAGAACCAGGACACACATATACACACTCACACATACTCTCTCTCACACACACACCCTTTACGATGCACATTGAGCCCTGCCTGGCAGCCAGTTCAAGGTCACTTCAACTCCTTGATCGTACTGTCTTTATGAATTTCATAATTCATAAATTATGCCTCCCCAGTGACTAAAGCTATGTGTCACCAGGCCCCTCCCATCCCTTAAAAAATTACTTTGTGTGTTTGTGTGTGTATGTGTAAGCATAATTTTTTTGCAATCTACTTTTAATATGGGTTCAACCTCTCCTCTAGTCCACCACCCAGCAGAGGTAGGGGAAGAAAAAAGTTATTAGGACATCGGGGGGACTGGCCAGGCAGTGGTAGCACATCCCTTTAATCCCAGCACTTGGGAGGCAGAGGCAGGCGAATTTCTGAGTTCGAGGCCAGCCTGGTCTATAGAGTGAGTTCCAGGACAGCCAGGGCTATACAGAGAAACCCTGTCTCGAAAAACAAAAACAAAAATCAAAACAAAACAAAAAGGGTATCAGAGACATGGACCTGTTCAGCAGTAGTTCTTTGGGGGCGAGCTGGATCTCCTTTGGCAGCAGTTCAGTCCCGTAGCAAACACTAAATATGATTCAGTAGCTGCAGACCAGTCCTCTAGGCAGGCAGACTCCATGCATGAACTGGCAGCTACAGTCCAGTCCTTTCAGCAAGCAGACACCAGGCAGCTGTAGTTCAATTCTGATGGAGACAGCCAGGCTCGCCCACAAGCCTGAGGCGAGGCTGCAAAAGCTGCAAACTGCCGCAGGAACCTCACAAGCAGTTCTTGGGTGAGTTTCTCTCAATGGCAGCGTTACCACAAGTTGAGCTCAGCAACGCTATGTGAGGTGAATGAATACATGAGAGAGAGTCTTTAGTGAAGACTAGTGAGGTGGAGCGAGTCAGCTCAGCGCTCGTCTCCCACTGTCTGTGGGGTCATATTTATACTCCTTCATCATGCGTCCTTTCACGTGTCTGCTATATCCAAACATCCTTACACCTGTGTCTGCCTCAGGAGACCAGTCTTTCACTTGTTTGCTTTAGCAAGGCATCCTTTCACCTGTGTGCCTCAGGAAAACATCATTTGACGTAACTAACTTTCCAAAGAACTAGAAGTTTCCACTTTAGTGTGTGTATGTGTGTGCATGCATGTGTGTGTGTGTGTACATGTGTGTATCCATGTATGTGTGCATATGCAAGCATGTGTGTGTGTGTGTGTGTGTGTACAACTATTGAGAAACTGGCTTTCCCCTCCCACTATATGAGTCCAGAAAGTTGAATGCAGGCTTGTCTGTCAGACTTATCAGCAACTCCTGACTCTCATTGAGCCATTGCTTCAGCCTCTCCGACCCCCTTCCTCCACACACCTGTTTTTTTGGGGGGTTATGGGGGGTGGGAGTGGGTGTTGAGACAGAGTCTGTGCTAGCTGAGCCTGCCCTGGAATTTGTTCTGAAGTGAAGGATAACCTTGAGCTCCCCCTGCCTCAGCCTTCAAAGTGCTAGAATTACAGCCATGAGTCACCACTTCAAGCTTTTTGATCTCAGAAGTTGGAATTTTAAAAATTCAGATAAGATTTGGCTCCAGGGAACTGACTCATGGTAACTGAAGTAGGGAAACAGCTCATGGTCCCTGTAGATGTAACTTCAGGATGATTCAATGTATCCCTCAACACAGTCCTTTGTTCATTTGGGTTTTTTTAAAAAAGCTATTCATTCTTTCACAATTTTTAATTAATTAATTAATTAATTAATTTTTGAGACAGGGTTTCACTGTGCATATGTAAGCCTGGCTAGCCCGAAATGTAACCCACTATGAAGACCAGGCTACCATTGAACTCAGAGATCCACCTGCTTCTGCCTCCTGAGTGCTGGGATTAAAGGTGTGCACCTCCAGTCCTATCCAATAAGAATAAATCTCAAAGCCACGATAAAACACCAGCTGGGCAAGGTGGCTAATGTCTTTAATCTTAGTATTCAGGAGACAGATCTCTGTGAGTTAGAGCCAGCCTGGTCTACACAGCAAATTCCAGGCCAGCTAGTGCTACACAAGTGAGATCTCACCTCAAAAACAAAAACAAGTCAACAAAAAGTTCCCGTAGGATTGAGAGTAAAGCTCAGTGGTTAGAGTGCTGGCCTAGCATCATGTACAGGAAGTGCCAGCGTCATGTACATCAGGCGTGGTGATACGTCTATATGTAGCACACACAGCTACATAGAGGATTTGGGCTGTGAGAGACCTTGTCTCTAACAAACAAACATCACAGGCAGAAATACAGATTTGTGTTCTGTAACGCTTCCTCCTGGGCCCATCTTTTGGCCCCAGCTCTCCCCGAGGTGACTCTCCTGGTCAGTTTCTTGAAAAACTCTGCACATATAAAGCGCTGTGGGGCTGGGGTGGAGAGAAGGGCTTGCTTTGCGCACACAGAAGAAGCCACAGCGAACCAAAGAGGTGGGAGAGAGGGAGAGCAGATACAGCTACATCTCCCATGCTGATTGTGTTTTTATTTTTCACAAACAGCAGTGTCCCATACATCCCATCAATGCCATCAATAATCTATATTTTATCAGTCTTGAGGTTTTCCACTCTATATAGATGAACCTTAAGACTGAGAAGATGGAGCTGGAGAGATGGCTCGGCGGTTAAGAGCACTGGCTGCTCTTCCAGAGGTCCTGAGTTCAATTCCCAGCAACCACGTGGCAGCTTACAACAGTCCGTAACTATTGTTCCAGGGGACCCAACACCCTCACATAGACATGCATGTGATCAAAACACCAATGTACATAAAATAAAAATAAATAAATTAAAAAAAAGGTTGAGAAGTCGCATGGTATTCCACTATGCATGTGTACCACGCTCACATGCTGGTCCTCTGAGAGCGGTTCTTCTCAAACTCGGTACATTGCCCTTTCATATCTGTAGGATGATAAGTGAATCCTCTCCCTTTTCTGGACTGGAGGATTATGTAGCTTAAGATGACCTCACATTTGCAATTCTCTTGCTGGGTTTATAGGTGTGTACCCCATAGTGGGCTGATTCTCCCCCTTTGGGTGCTATTTTATCCTTGGGTTTTTTTTCTTTCTCACAGGCCAATGTGTGACAGTGATGAACCAGCTAACTAACGTGCTGACCTGAGCCTGAGCGTGTCTGAGCTACACCCGGCCATCGTAAGTCCAAAACTGAATTCCTTCCACCACACTGGATCTGGGGCTGGGGGTGGGGCAAGATCAGCCGGGGTATAACTTCTCACTTCTGCTCCGAAGGAAAGCAAGTGTGAATGTTTGTCCTCCCTATCTGGAAACTTCCAGTTTACCTCATCAACCCAGGGCAGGAGTGGAGTTGACAGGGAAGGGAGCTCTGGAGCACTTTCTGGGGACAGGAGATGGAGCACCTGTGTTCCACACGTAGGAAGGAAGGTGTGTCATTGAAACGGTAAATCCAGAACAGAGCAGGTAAAGTAAGATGTGGGCAGTTGTAACACTTATCCTTTCCCAGCTTCCAACACCCTCTCACCTACGTCATACCCAGCAGCCTTCCCTCTATGTGCCGAGAAAGCCCCAACGGCCCTCAAGGATGTTGAGATCCTGGGGGCGGGGGCAGAGTGGCTGCCGGGAGGTGGTGGCGCACGCCTTTAATCCCAGCACTTGGGAGGCAGAGGCAGGCGGATTTCTGAGTTCGAGGCCAGCCTGGTCTACAGAGTGAGTTCCAGGACAGCCAGGGCTACACAGAGAAACCCTGTCTCAATAAATAAATAAATAAATAAATAAATAAATAAAAAATAAAAAAACAAAAAACAAAAAAAAGAAGGAACTGTGCATGTGCAGATATATGCCCACATATGGTTATGTGCACACAGAGTGTTCGGGGTCTCCAGGGGGTTTGCTGTTGTCTGAGGGGGATGTGTCTCCTCACAGGAGGTCAAAGGCAGACCTTCTAGTTCTAGGAAGGCCCAAGAACCAACCTCTCGGCATAGTGTTTACGTCATGGGGAGCTGGTACAACGTCAGGAGGTTCAGTGCAGAACCTAACATCTGGGCTAACAGGGCAGCCTCTGGGGAAGGGGGCTTGGAGGAACCAGAAGCCAGACATAGTCTTGTTCTGAGGCTCCAAGAGCAGTGTGTGAAAAGCTTCCTCAAGGTGGCAGTAAAGTAACAGTTAGAAAGTGGAGGCAGGAGGATCAGGAATTCAAGTTTGAATTCCTACACAGCAAGTCTGAGGCTAGCACTAGTGATGTGAGACTCAGTCTCAAGGAGATGGGGCTGGATGGATGACTGGGTTGGCAAAATGCTTGCTGTGCAAGTGTGAGGCCTCCGTGTGGATTCCTTAGAACCCACGTTAGAAAGTCCAGACAGTATCGCTGTCTTGTAACCGCAGGGATTGTTGGGGAGCAGAGACAGGCAGGTCCCTGAAGCTCACTAGAAGTTAGACTGTTTACTTGGCAAAGTTCTGGATCACTGAGAGACCCTGTCTCATACAAAAGGTGAACGGGACCTGAGAAATTACACCCATGATTCTCCTCTGACCTCCAGAGGCACAGACAGAAGCGTGCCTGCCGACATGCATACAAACTACAGAAATAGAAACCAATGGTATTCTTGTTGCTGATCTGACAGGTTTTCTTGAGGTGGTGGTGATCCCAGGAGGGTGCTCCCCTTGCTCTTGTTACAGTAACAAGGAAAGCAACTATGCCCAGAGGCTTGGGAGGGACAAAGAGGCAAATACATCAGGTTTAATTCTCCATGGCTGGGGCCAGGCCTGTGCCCTTGGGAGGCAGAGGCCAGCCTGGGCTACAGAGAAATTCCAGGACAGCCAGAACTACATAGTAAGACCTTGTCTTTAAAGCAACAAACAGGGGACCTGGAGCTCAGCGTTCGGAAAGACACAGACTTTCAGCTTTGGATTCCTTCGGGGAGACTCGTCATTCAAGCTCGAGGCATGGAGGAAGATGCTGGTGGTGGAGGTGCAGGCGCTGCGGGAGCGCCTGGGAGTCGGGGGACGCACGGTGGGCGCTCTGCCCCGTGGGCCCCGCCAGAACTCGCGCCTGGGCCTTCCGCCTCTGCTGGTGCCTGAAGAAGCCCGGCTCCTGGCTGAGATAGGCGCTGTGACCCTAGTCAGCGCCCAGCGTCCGGATCCCCGCAACCATGGCTTGGCCCTAGCATCGTTCAAACACCAGCAAGAGCAGAGTTTCCAGGATCAGAGCACTTTGGCAGCCGAGGCCCGAGAGACCCGGCGTCAGGAGCTCCTAGAGAAGATCGTAGAGGGCCAGGCTGTCAAGAAGCAGAAGCTGGAACAGGATTCAGGGGCAGATGAAGAAGGCCAAGAAGCCGGTGGAAGTGAAGCTGCCCAAGGGAGTGAGACCAGTAATGATGATGGCCAGGCTTCTGCGGAGCAGGAGGGAGCAGATTCTTCATCGCCCCAACCAGGACCTTCAAATGGGGCGACTCCTTTGCCCAGATCAGCCCTGCTTATCCAGCTGGCCACTGCTAGGCCTCAGCCTGTAAAAGCTAAGCCTCTGGACTGCCGTGTGCAGTCCAAAGACTGGCCCCATGCTGGCCATCCTGCCCACGAGCTGTGCTATAGCATCTACAGGGACCTATGGGAGAGAGGCTTCTTCCTCATCGCAGCTGGAAAGTTTGGTGGTGGCTTCCTGGTCTATCCTGGTGACCCGCTGCGTTTCTACGCTCACTACCTTGCTCAGTGCTGGTCTGCCGAGGACCCCATCCCACTTCAGGACCTGGTCTCTGCAGGCTGCCTGGGAACCAGTGTCAGAAAGACCCTGCTTCTCTGCTCCCCTCAGCCTGATGGGAAGGTGGTCTATACTTCCCTGCAGTGGGCCAGCCTCCAGTGAGCTGGAGACTGAGGGGGATGTGCTGTGTGTGGCAAGAACCCCTCTCTATGGTCACCCCAGCTCATCCCTGCGTAGAGGCTTGTGCTCTCCTGCCCTGCCTGGTTAGTTCTGATTCCAGGGTTTTGAACACTGTAGCCTTTGTTTGTTTTTTGTTTTCCTGTTTTAAGGCGATTATTACCTGTGTTGTTCTGTATTTCTATTTCCATACTGAACTTGTTGAGAATGGAGACTGTTTTCCTTTGGTTTTTCTGTTTCTTGCTGGGCTTAGGTCCTAGCAGTTCTCAATAAATTTGTTGAAAAAAAAAAAGCAGCAAACAAATGAACAACAAAAAAATCTCCATAGCTGGGAGCCCAGTGTGGTAGTCAGTGTTGGTAATGTCCACACTTGGGAGACAGAGGCAGGAGGATCAGGGTTCAAGGCCAGTTTCAGCTACTTAGAAATTCTAAGTCAGTCTGGGATACATGAGACCCTGTCTCAGAAGGGGAAAAAACAGGATCAAAATAGTATCTATGAAAAAATTTCTTTTTTCAAAAAATAAAAGTGTATCTCAAACTTCAAAATGTTGTTTATTTTTTTGAATACTAATCTCATTTTTTCTTTTTTTCTTTTTTTTTTTTTTGAGACAAGGTTTCTCTGTATAGCCCTGGCTGTCCTGGAACTCACTCTGTAGACCAGGCTGGCTTCAAACTCAGAAATCCGCCTGCCTCTGCCTCCCAAGTGCTGGGATTAAAGGCGTGCGCCACCACTGCCCGACATAACCCCATTTTTTAATTTTAATTTTTATTTTTTGCAACTTGGGAATTTTATCTGCTGGATGTTCCAATAAAAAATAAAAAATTAAATAAATAAAATGAAAAACAAACAAACAAAAAAACCAGCTTTTTTCTCCTAAGCGTTCTTCCCAACTTTCCAAGTAACTGTTGACTTTCTTTTTATCTTATTTTCAGGGAAGGACCCAGGAAAGAATGTGAATCTTCCTACATGCCAAGAAGTGGTAAAAGGATCAGTTTCGATTCCTCAGAAGCTATCCTGGGGAAGACCCGACGGACGCCAGGGAACCAGACCCATGCGGCTAACTTCAAAAAACTTCAAACAAAATAAATAAAAACATTTTTCAGGGCTTGTGGGTTTGTGTGCTTAACATAATCCACACAAAACCAAATGTGCTTCAGTGTGTGTGTGTTGGGGCAAAGGTCCTGCCCCAAAACTGAGTCCCGAATCCCTGGCAGTTCCTTTCTCTTTTTCTCCCCTAGTTCCATCCCTCGCCACTCCCCGTGTTTTCAGTCTCTGAGCCTACTTAACCAGCTGTGGTTTCGGGGAAGTCAGATGACCTTTTCTCTTCCCTGGCTCTCGGGTCTACTGTCCTGGGAACCATGGCCCCTCTGCTGGCTCTCCTCTGCCTGCTGCAGCTGGGCCCAGGTAGGAGACTGGGAAAGGGGTTATTGGGGCCCTGTGGGTGTGGCAGGTGCTGCCAGGTCCAGTCTAAGTCAAAGGGATAACCTCTTCTTGCTCCTCTCTCATCTGGCCCGTTTTTCCTTTTGCCCCGGTCTTTCCCACACCCGTAGGCCTGGCTGTCCTCTCCTGCTCTCAGAATGTCAATATCACTGGCGGTAATTTCACCCTCAGCCATGGCTGGGCCCCTGGGAGCCTGCTCGTCTACTCCTGCCCTCTGGGCATGTACCCGTCTCCAGCCTGGAGGCGATGCCAGAGCAACGGAGAGTGGCAGACACCAAGACCTAGCTCACTTCCCACCCTGCGATCCTTTCGAGCCCCTCGGATGGTAAAAGCGGTCTGCAAACGTGAGTCCCTTTGGGCTTTGGGCTTTGGAGAGTGTCCACCAGTGTCAGCCCAGGGCTTCTATTTGCAGCAGGTTCTCCAGGAAGAGAGAGAGAGAGAGAGAGAGAGAGAGAGAGAGAGAGACAGAGACAGAGACAGAGACAGAGACACAGAGAGAGGCAGAGAGACAGAGAGAGACAGAGAGACAGAGACAGAGAGACAGAGAGAGACAGAGAAGAGAGAGAGACAGAGAGAGACAGAGATGGAGAGAGAGAGACAGAGAGACAGAAAGAGAGACAGAGAGAGAGACAGAGACAGAGAGAGACAGAGAAAGACAGAGACAGAGAGAGAGACAGAGAGAGACAGAGACAGAGACAGAGAGACAGAGAGAGAGACAGAGAAAGACAGAGAGAGACAGAGACAGAGAGAGAGACAGAGAGAGACAGAGACGGAGAGAGAGACAGAGACAGAGAGAGAGACAGAGACGGAGAGACAGAGACAGAGAGAGAGAGAGAGAGAGAGAGAGAGAGAGAGAGAGAATATGTGTGGTGACTCACACCTTAAATTCCAGCACTTGGGAGGCAGAGGGAGCTGGGAGGAAGGGAGGCAACCTGGTCCATATACTGAGTTCTAGGCCATCCAGCGCCATAAAGTGAGACCTTATCTCCAAAAAACAAACCCACGCCAACAAAGGCCCCCAGAAAACCACAAAAACCAGATCAATCCATCAAACAAACAAAACCAGAAAAAGTCCACTATCTACTTAGTAAGGACATTTTTTTTTAAAGCTAACATTAACTATAGGATTGTTTGACCATTCTAAATGGGTGCTGAACGCCCCAGAGCACCCTAAAACCACAAATGTTGTTGGTGACAGACTGGGGTGACCACAGCCCTTGAGGAGGGTGAACTGTTTTAAGTTGACAGTATTCAATCAACTGCCTAAAATCTTGTGTTTCAGTCTACTTTGGGGATTCTTTTGGTGCTGGGAGCAGAAATTAGGGTCTTAGTCTTCCTTGCCCAGCTCTCTGCTTTTGAGTTCTTTTTCCTTGCCGTTTTTGATTAATTAATTTTGTTTTGTACCTGCTAACTTAGACCATTGCTTTCAAAAGTGACCTTTGAACTAACTGTGCAGCTGAGGACGAGTTTGCACTGTTTCTGCCCCTCTCACCTCTTGAGGACCGGCTTGACAGGCAGGAGCCACCGGGTTTGGCTTTTGGGTTCATTGAGACAGGTTCATGCTGTAGCCCAGGCTGGCCCAAATTGGCAGCAATTGATCCACCAGCCTCTGCCTCTTGAGTGCCGGGTTTATGGGTGTGCACCACCCAACCTCTCTTACTTGTGTTTGTGAGACAGGGTCTAGCTATACAGCCTAGGTTGGCCTCAAGTTCACTGTATAGCCTAGAGGCCTTTGAACTTCTATGACCCTCCTGCCATAGCTGCCCAAGTGCTAGTATTATGGGCTGTCACCACATCAGTTTTCCGTGTTTTCACAACCAGCTAACCGTCTTGGGTCCTAACAGAAGACCCTTCCCCCACACGTAGACTTGGTGTCAGCCACCCTCGGCTCTTGCTCAGATTCTCTCTCTCTCTCTCTCCAGCTGTTCGGTGCCCAGCTCCTGCATCCTTTGAGAATGGCATCTATTTCCCTCGGCTGGGGTCTTACCCTGTGGGTGGCAACCTGAGCTTCGAGTGTGAGTATGGCTTCACCATGCGGGGCTCGCCTGTGAGGTACTGTCGCCCCAACGGCTTGTGGGATGGAGAGACAGCTGTGTGTGACAATGGGGGTAAGTGTGCTGGGGGGTATGGGGGTTGGGGTGGACTTGCAGCCCCAGAAGCTTTTGTGGGGACAGAGCCTAGTGTTCTTGGTGGCTCAGTAATATATCTTGATTGGGGTAGGTTGAGACTGTGGGCCACACATCGCTGACCGGCTGGGAGACTGTCTAGGTTTCATATCTGACTCACCGGCTCGACAAACCTTTCAGTTTTGTTTCCTCCTTTCCTCCCCGATCCCTCTCTTTCCTTCCTTCCTTTGAAGCTAAACTGAGCTACTTGAGACCCCATGTTTATAAAACAAAGTAGCTCCAGGGGATCCTGGGAGGCCCACTTCTCCCAGGAGCTCATTCTGGGGCCCAGGATGGCCTTGAACTCGCTGAATGTCAGTCTCTGGAGTGCTCAGATTATCAGGCATGAGCCTGGTCAGTCAGCTTTTCTAAATGACAACACTTTGTCTTCCATGAAGTATTGCAGACAAGACCCGCTAGAGACCAACAGCTGTGTGTTAGGCTCAGGGCAGCCTCTGGATCTTGGTGTGGCTCCAGATGCTTTGAGTTAGATAGCCTCTGGACAGGTCACTTACCCTTCCTGTGCCTCAGTTTTTACACCTGCAAAATGGGAATAGTGTAGCTGTCAAGACGTCAGTTACAGCAGTTGCTGCTCTTCCAGAGGACCAGAGTTAGGTTCCCAGCAAGCACACTGGACTCACACCCACCAGCAACTCCAGCTCCAGGGGACCCACTGTTGTCTGGTTTCACACAGAAATACACATAAATCATAATAATATTTTAAAAAGGGTAATAGCCAGGCAGTGGTAGCAGACACCTTTAACTCCAGCACTCAGGAGGCAAAGGCAGGCATCTCTGAGTTTGAGGCCAACTTGGGCTACAAAACAAGTTCCAAGACAGCCAGGAGTACACAGAGAAACCCTGTCTCAAACAAAATACTAAAAAGATAAAAACCTTCCTGACTTCCCTGAACAGATGCTGAAACCTGGTGACCCTCAAATACTTTCTAGCCCTACGAGTGGTGTTTGGGGAGAAGTGGCCTCCTGGGATCCCCTGGAGCCACTTTGTTTTATAAACACAGGGTCTCAAGCAGCCCAGGCTAGCTTCATACACAGGCTGACCTTGAACTCCTGCTGATAGTCTTCCTGTATCACCTCGCCCAGCTTCTCCATCACACAGAAAGCAGTGTCCCCTAGGTAGCAGGACCAACCCCTCTCCCAGATACCTGGACAGTGACACCTTACTCATTCCCTTGAGTCTTTCTCAAACTGCTGTTTATTCAGACATAAATATAATCTGTTTTAAATTTGACATATGATCTCCCTGTATTAAAGCATGCAATTTGTGTGTGAGACTGGAGGTAGGACCCAGGGTTTCTGGAATGCCAGACAAGCACTGTGCCACTGAGCTGTACTCCAAACTCCATAGTAGAAAAATTTAAAAATATGTATTTCTGCCAGGCGGTGGTGGCACACGCCTTTAATCCCAGCACTTGGGAAGCAGAGGCAGGCGGATTTCTGAGTTCGAGGCCAGCCTGGTCTACAGAGTGAGTTCCAGGACAGCCAGGGCTACACAGAGAAACCCTGTCTCGAAAAACCAAAAAAAAAAAAAAAAAGTATTCTTTTAGCTTCACACACCTTTCATGTCAGCACTCAGGAGGCAGAGGCAGGTGGATCTCTGAGTCTGAGGCTAGCCTGGTCTATGTAGAGAATTCTAAACCAGGTAGGGCTACACAAGGAGATTCTCCTTCAAAACATTTATTTATTTATCTGTGTGTGTTTGCACACGCGCATTTGCACACGTGTGCCACAGCATGGATATCTGTGGATAACTTTCAAGAGTTGGTTCTCTCCTAACATTTGGGCTCCAGCAGGGATGAAAGGTAGAGCCTCGGGCTTGGTATCAAGCACCATTATCTGACGAACCATCTCACTGGCCCGGAGTAGGGGTTTTTATACATGAGTCCACCTCTGGAATGGCACCTGGAGCGAGGACATGCCCACACTGCAGGAAACTTTCCCGTCTCCTTCCGCAAGGCAGCCCCTTCCAACTTCAGATGAAGTCTACCTGTTATTTACTTTACTTTATGTATTATTTGCTTGTTTATCATGTGTTCTTGGGAGAGGCATGATTATGCCATGGCGGGGGTGTGGAGGTCAGAGGACAACTCAAAGGGCCTGATATCAATGGGGCTCGGGTTGTCAGCTTGGTAGGAGCTGGTCCTGCCCACTGAGCCATCTTGCCAGCCTTGCCCTGTTCTTATGCTCATACAAATGGAGTCACGCGGGAATGTGCACCTTTATATCTCGCTTCCTTTAAACATATTTTTAAGGTTTATTTATTTATTATGGATACAGCATTCTGCCTGCATGTATGCTTGCAACCCAGAAGAGGGCACCAGATCTCATTACAGATGGTTGTGATCCATCATGTAGTTGCTGGGACTCGAACTCAGGACCTTTGGAAGAGCAGCCAGTGCTCCTAACCTCTCGTGAAGCTGCCTCTCCTGTGCTTGTCTTGTTTTCCTTCGCTTAGCACTGTCCTTTTGGAAGTTATGGATGTTGTCACGAGAGTCTGTGGCCCTTTTTCTGTACCGCATAGTATTCTGTTATGAATGCGTTATAAAGTATTATTCATTGTCCTCTTCCTGTTAGGTATTTGAGTGATGTCTGGTTTGGGGCTGTGGAGAGTGGGGCTTCAGGAACCAACTCTCACCGGCTTCATCCTCCGGAGTGATACATGGCCAACCTCCTTTTTACTCAGGCTTTCCCTAGTGGGTGATCCAGATGTTTAGTGGTGGTCCAGATGTTTAGCAGAATTCTCTCTGCTCCACATCACCCCTCATATCTGGAATCACCTCTAGGTTGAGAGTTGACCGTTCTCATGGTGTGTGGCGATTGCCCAGTGGTTGATAAAATGCACCCGATGCCTGGGTCAGGCCTGGGGTGCTCAGTGGGTGGCTGAGAACGTGAATTTAAGTGCTGTGGGTTATTTAAGGTCTCTCGCACACTCCACTCTGACAGTCCTGGTGGCTTAGGGGGCGAAGAAGAAGGAAGAATGTGTCCTGCAAACAAGGGCAATCAGACTGGCAGACATTTCCAGGTCCTGTTTACCCGTCTTTATTCACTTGCAGCTAGCCACTGCCCTGACCCGGGCATCTCAGTGGGCACAGTTCGGACGGGCTCGAGCTTTGACCTTGGGGACAAGGTCAGTTACCGCTGCTCCTCCTCAAATCTGGTATTGACCGGCTCTGAAGAGCGCGAGTGTCAGAGCAATGGAGTGTGGAGTGGGTCGGAACCCATCTGCCGACGTGAGTACCCTCAATGTCCTCCTAGGCCTCCATGCCCAGGCCTGGTCCTGGCTGCTCCTAATGTGACTCTTTCCACAGAATCATACTCTTACGACTTCCCTGAGGATGTAGTATCTGCTCTAGGCACCTCCTTCACCAACCTGCTTGGAGCCACCAATCCCATCCAGCAGAGGACAAGTGAGTATCGGACAAGGAGCCAGGATGGAACAGGAGCGAGGCAAGCTACCTGGGAGGCTAGATGACCCTTGGTAGAACATAGGGTGAGGCTGGGCCTCTGATATCTTGTTTCTTGTTTGCTTCAGAAAATCTGGGCCGTAGAATCCAAATCCAGCGCTCGGGCCACCTGAACCTCTATCTGCTGCTTGATGCTTCGCAGAGTGTGTCAGAAAAAGACTTTGACATCTTCAAGGAGAGCGCCTCACTCATGGTGGACAGGGTCAGAAACCAAGAGCAACGTGGCTTCTCAGCCCCGTTGATTCTCCTCCCTTGCTTAGAGCCCCAGTCAGTCCACCTCCTTCTAGAAGTCTCCCCAGGCCACCAGAACCATGAGTTCAGTGTATAGGATCATATCTTTATGATATAAAGGTTTAGGAATACCTACTGTGTAGGAGGCCCTGGGCCAGGTCCCAGGAGACAACACAGGAGCCAAGCTCAGCCGTGTACTCTCAGGAATTCATCATCGACAGCTGTGGTGTCCAAAGAGTTATAGAGATGACCTATGGCGTGTACCAGAAGAATCTGACACTCCTGTTGAATAATTATAGTTTTTAATCAAGCCAATAATTTCATATCTCAAGCCACGTATGGTAGAGGCAGGAGGATTTTAGGAGCTTAAGGCTAGCCTCAGACTGCATGAAGCCAAGGAAGGACCTAAGGACTGGGGGAACTGGGGAAGTGGCTCTGTGTAAAGGCAGGTGCCCCACGACTTCAGTTCAGATCTCTGGAATCTGAATTAAATGTCAGAAGCCATAGGCTTGTTTGTAATCCCAGGGAGATGGGAGGCTCTGACTGCTGGGTGTGGGAGCGGCTTCCTTGAGTTCTCAGTACAGAGGCAGAGACACTAAGAGAGGTGCACGTGCATGCGTGTGTGTGTGTGCACACACACACAGATGCACACATGTGAGTGTGTGCTTCAGAAGGAGGAGAGAGAAAGCTACAACTCCCCCTCCTCTTTTTTTTTTTTTTAAGAAAAGTTCTGTCTACATTGCCCTGACTATCTTGGAATTCTCTGTAGACCAGTCTGTTCTCTAACACAAAGATCTACTTGCCTTTCCAAAGGGCTTGGAGGTGTGGGCCATCACACCCCGCTCAACAATTTGAAAAAGTTTATATTTAACAATAGGTCATATATATAGTTTTTTCTTCCAGTTATATTAGACTTTTATTCACGCCAAAGATGTGCTCTACCGCTGAGCTGCACTGCTAGACACGCATCTGATTTTGTTTGTTTTGAGACAATTTTTCATGTAGTTCAGAATGACCTCGGATTTTCTATTTCTTTCCAAGACAGGATTTCTCTGGAGACCAGGTTGGCCTTGAACTCACAGAGATCTGCCTACCTCTACCTCTTGAGTGCTGGGATTAAAGGCATGAGCCACCATGGCCAGGCTGCTTCATCTCTTCAGCTCTGTCCCAATTTGTATTTTTTAAATATAATTTAATTTTTTTTTTTTTTTACTTATTCACTTTTCATCACGCTCATTCCTCCACCCCTGGTCACTCCCTCCCACAATCCCTCCTCCACCCCTCCTGGGGAAGTGGAGCTTATGTGGGGCTGAAATGAGGAGGGGTCGTCCAGAACACAAGCTCGGCATGGGTCATTTCCTTGGCTTCTTCAAGGCTGGGCTCCCCACTAAGGGTCTTTCCTGTCAGGCTCAGTACAGGCTCTCTGCGCTCCTTGGACCTGCGCTTGTTAAGTTTTGCAGCACCCGCCCCTTACCGCTTGTCTCCCGTCCTCCGCAGATCTTTAGCTTTGAGATAAAGGTCAGCGTAGCTATCATCACCTTCGCCTCTCGGCCCAAAGTCGTCATGTCGGTCCTGAGTGACAGATCTCGGAATGTCATGGAGGTGATCGCCATTCTGGACTCTATCAGCTACAAAGGTTTGCCTGTCCCCCACTGGGTGAGGTGGACAGTAGAGGGTGAAGCAAGCGCCATAGGGCGATCCCAGAGGGGAGGGGCCAGAAGAGGGGGAGGAGCCCGAAGAGGGGACGGGCCTGAAGATGACGCTCGGTTGGCAGGAGGTTTGCCTAGCACATTTGAGGCTCTAGATTCCATCCCCGGCACCCAGCAAACAGCTGGAACACCATAAACTCTTCAGACGCTCCATGTTTAGATCTTGGGAACTTGTAGTAGCCTGAGATGGACGTCTGTGCAACGAGCATTTCCATTTAATTAATTAATATTTGAGACAGAGTCTTAGTGTGTAGTCCAGGCTGGCCTGCAGCTTGTTCTGTAGACCAAGTTGGCCTCAGACTCACAGAGATCCCCCTGCCTCTGCCTTCTGCGTGCCGGGATCACAGATGTGAGACATCGTATCTGGTTCTTTCTACGGTAGAAAAACCAAAATGTTTGAAAAGACGTGCAAAATATCAGGGTTTATTAGAAACTCGGATGGATAGCTTGCGGTTCTGGCGGTCTCTCAGAGTTCCCCGTTCCCAGGTGGCAGGCAGAGGTTTTTTGTTTCCAAGAGATTTTTCTTCTGGCACATTCTAGATCACGAGAATGCCACTGGCACTAACATTTACGAGGCTCTCAACAGTGTCTACTACATGATGAATAACCAGATGGATCGTCTCGGCATGGAGTCCTCTGCCTGGCAGGAAATCCGTCACGCCATCATCCTTCTGACTGACGGTGGGTGGTGGGCGTCTCCCTCTCTGCTGAAGGAGGCTGGCAACAGTGGGCAGAGTGCCAGGATAGGTTCTGAAGTCTTGTGTTCTGGTCGTTTTTCTGCCGTTGTGAGACTCACTCTGTTAATCTTTGCTTGTTTGTTTTTGAGACAGGGTTTTATAATTTTTTTTTCTTTTTGTTTTGAGACAGGGTTTCTCTGTGTAGCCCGGCTGTACTGGAACTCACTCTGTAGACCAGGCTGGCCTTGAACTCAGAAATCTGCCTGTCTCTGCCTCCCAAGTGCTGGGATTAAAGGCGTGCACCACCACCGCCCGGTGAGACAGGGTTTTTCTCTGGTCTGAAATTCACTGTGTAGACCAACCCAGAGAGAGCCACCTGCCTCTGCCTCCTGAGTGCTGGGATTAAAGATGTGTGCTGTGCTCTGTAGCCCAGGCCGACTTTGAACTCCAGTATGC